GCCGAAAGTTCTTTGAGAGGCTAGTCCCTTTTCAGCTAAAATAACTGCTCATAGCTACGGCAAATGAATGTGAAATGGATTGCTTTTTTTGCAACTAATTGGTCTTCAAGTTGAATTAAAGAGTTTTGGCCACATTAGTTGAGATTGAGATATTAAGATATCACTTAATGAAAAATACCAGACTCTAAGGAGAAGGCCAGCTATAGTGGACTTTTACAAACCGTAACTTCACACTAGATCTATGATTGACACCTTATAGTCTGCTTCTTCTCAGGCCATTTATAGCGTAAGAGCTCCTTGTTGATTGGTTTTGAACTCGAATACATTGCTGGGTGTCTCAAACTTGTTAATCTTGCTTCCTTACCTAACCACGAATCATTTGATTCTAGTTCGACATATTATTTATCGAAATCTTTTTCCATTTATTTTGCGAAGTTAGAAACTTGAAACTAATACAGTTTTGCTCTTGATTCCGAATATCAAAGCAAAACCTCGCATTTAGTTATTCATTTTATACACTGGAAGCTCACCGGCCGGTTCACTTATTTATTATGTGATACTATGTAGATCTGCTGAAACAAGATCAGTTTTACGTTTTTTGCAAAAGAGCCTTTCCTTGTCACATGGTATCACTTCAGAACAATTACTTACTCCTTATTTCACCTACTGCTTCATTGTAAAATGCTATTGTTAATAATGCCAAATGACTCATTTTCTTCATAGCCCATATAATTCTGATTAAAGGCTGACTTGTAGCTATTTCCTCTGGCCTCCGCACCGTCTGTATACGAGTGGGTATATGCTGACTTCCTCTTTTTGGGGAAGAGAGAGGAATGTCTAGCTGCCAGCCGATGAATTTAGGCCTGTGTCCATAGATCTTTTAAATACTTATCAGTCTCTCCTTCTTCTTCTATTAAACAGACCTAGTCTTTACAACTCGACCATTTGTGTCCGTGACCATGTCGACCACACATTTGTACACACGCACACACTCAGGGGAATTATTCATTTATGTGGCCTTGTATATACACACGTGGACGCGGACATAAGAACATATGATTTCTAAGACTTATCATGGTTTGGACGTATTCCTCTTTGGGGCATGCACAATAAAAATAAGGCCTCTTCGCCCTCGGGTGTAAGTCGAACACTTCTTCATTGTTTGCCACTGAACCAGGACACCCAAGTAAGCAAGGACAGACCAGGCGAACAACTGACTTATATACTAGTCTGGACACAGTCCACCGAGCCAGAAATTCAATCGTTTACGCTGTATAACTGACAGCAAACAGCACGTCCTATGAGTGAAGGTCCGATTGCTGTTTCAAGGGCTGATTTTTCATCCTTAAACGGGCCGTTCGGCACCGAATATCCCAATTTTGTGACAGCCCCACGACCTTTTTATTATCCTTTTGTTACCACCTATTGGATCCTGAAGCCTACATGTGTCCTCCTTCTTTGTTTCCACTTCACCCACTAATCATCGCTATCCCTGTTAGGACTAATTCCACTGCTGCGTTCTGCTTTGACTTGGTTTTTGTTAGTTCCCTATTTGTATTATTTCGTCCTTTTTAACTGTGCCTTGATTGTCAGTATATACAATCTTCCTTATTGTTTACCTATGTATATTATTATATACTCCTCTAATATATATGAATGGGCAAAATGCATCTTATAGCACGACTAAGTGTATGTGTCCGTATGTTTATATTTTGTCTAATAATGTCACAACCTTGTGTGCAAGCCCATCATTGGTCTCCACACTGCCATTTACACTTATACACGTCAAATGTCATTATCTCTGGCAATTTACAAAATTCAAATGCATATATACATTCATGTATATCTATTTATTGGTGGGTGCAAGTTCAAGTACATGAACGCCTTTGTGTGCCTGGTCTATACCATCAGATTGTATTGTGGTCTTAGGTACGAAGGCGTTGTTTTAATTTTCCTTCAGGATCTTTAAAGAATTGGTCCTTAATATTGATTTTTTTATATTCTTATTTAGGCTAACCTCTGCATAATTTACTTTTTAGTCCTTTTAGGCGACACGGTGCCATTCGACCCTAGATAAGTCATGCTCATGTTTTAGTTACAATAAATACGGGTCCTAGAATCATAAGATCATATGATGAATGTCCCTATTGTTGCTCTGCTTGAATTATGCAAACTCGAATTTTAAATTATTGGAGTTAATGGAAGCTCATTTTATTTCCAGGCTCATGTATGCTCATGTATGCTATATGGTGAATACACCATCCTCATTTCTCAGTCGAGACTAGCTAGAAAGCAGTAATGGGCCTAGAATATATCCATCATCCTCTTGTCTTTTTTTGTCATTTTCTCATTTCTAAATCTTGAATCCTCATCAAACTGGCCGCGTACCTTTTTATTTCCCCTCTTGCTGTCGGACGAATTGCATTCACATTTAGTCCTTGTTTTCAACTCTCCTATGCACCATCCTATTTATTCCAATCTTTGGTTTCAAAGGCTGCTTCGTTATTTTAATGTCCGTTCTTCTGGCTTTCTACATCAATAGTTTATGAGAAAAACCAATTTTACTATTTTTTATTTCCTTCCTCAAAGGTGCACATTATATCGATAATGGTGGAATTGAGTCGTCCCAGCTTAAGGCTTTTAAGGCTTTATTGCATCACCTTGTATGTTTAAGTGTAAGATAACGTTAGCAACAAATAGAGACTTATGAAGAGAAGCTGGGTTTCGACTTAGCAACAGCTGCGCTTATTTTGTTTCAAGAAGCTCTTCAAATTAAAAGCAACTAATGCCCTTGCTAAACATGCAAACTCGCTTTCAAATCCGCTGTCGGGCCAGCTGTGATCAGCGCAAGATGGCTAGACAGATATGGATGCCTCGTTGTCGTGTGGCCCATTCCAGAAAACTACTAATAAATCTCACCTGGAATGTGAACCTCGTCAAAGTAATGGAGATTTCTTTGCTCACTTAAGTAATTATCACTACGAAACTTGCATTGCCATGAGATTTTGCATGGTCAACTTCGACCGAAACCAACTAATGCAGCACAATGCATTTCTCTTCTCAACTTATGAAAACAAGGAATCGTGGCCTCCATGCATGAGCTCACATATACATACTTTACATCCGTGTTTTCCAGCCAAACAAACTTTGGGCAGTCGCCATATAGATGATCTAGCAATCATCCGACAGATAAATTATTGGTTCTCTGCTCAAAAAATATTGTTCACGTCTTTTGCACTAGCCTGTATCCATTTATTGCCAGTATATTCTACATTTTTCTATCATACATTCACTTAACAGCATCTTCCGTCTTTATCTTTCTGTCAAATGCTGCGCTCTCATGACCTCGATTGCTGGCTTGTTTAGTCCATCGTTTTGGCTTGGTTAACAGTACCGTAGCCACCTGCTGAGATGGCCTTTTGTCGTCAATCTTATCTGGCCATAAATGTTCACACAGAGAATGCCTACAGATTCCGTGCCTTTGCCCGTCTTCATTCTGTTTATATGTATGTCCCTGAATACTTGTGTTTTGGCTTCCACAGTTTATTTGTTGTTTGAATAAGGCCTCAATAGATCATCTCTCTCCTGCCTTAACTGTCCAGTTTGATACGCTACTGTACTCTATAAAATCCAGAAACAAAGATAACTCTAAAGCAAATCTACTGTGCCATAGTCATTAGTTCTCAACTGACTTAGAGGAATACTCCGTCATCTTCTACTTAGATCGACCTTCAAACCTCTTCATCACAACCTTAAATTCTAAATGGAAATGAGCTTCCTCTTTGCCAAAAAAATCTGGGTTTGGAGAATACCTTGATGAGTTTACACTCTACTTTCATCGTTTGGATAGCCTGGTCAGTAGAGGGAATCGAATTGGTTAGGTTTGTGTGTAGACCAACCATAAATACTGATTTCCTTAATTTTCTTTCCAGCTATACTTTCTGGGTTAAAATATAGGTTTTGGATGAATGATAATGTTAAGTCTGCGTCTAGCATATATAGCGGTATAAATGCATGAAGAGGTTAAGCAATTTTTCATTCCAGAGAAAATATTCCTAGGAATTTATTTAAATTTATTGTAAAATAAATAATATGAAAGGGGGATATATCTATTTAAAGCAGGATGGGAGTTGCATAACTTCACTTACTTCCTAAAATTTGCATCCTGATAGCTTTTGAATAATATAGGTGAATAACTGATGAAGTGGGGCTTGTAAAACAATGCCTATAGAGAGACTTCTCACCTCACTCATCATTAGGATAGCGAAATTGCGTTATAGGTTTACCGCCAGCCCTTATTCTTGGTCTAGTATTTTGTTATTTCTATTTAAACCTGGCTTTGCGCTCAGCAAGCGAAAGCGCAGCATGGATATATTGTGGTCGTAGGACGGTGCCCTGGAGGCTCATCTACATAGATTTCGTTAGAATTTCATTACAATACTGGCAAATTTTGATGCCCTCTTATCCACTTCTTCAAACTAGAACACTCAAATTATTTAAAATTTAAAAACTATTCTGCATCTCTTTTATTAACGCATTTTTAGATAACTTTCATCGCTGGCTTTGTTGAACATATATCATACTCTAGGTAATATATCTGGTTTAACTGCTTTCGGATTATTCTTCTATGCCTTCCGAATACATCCTTCATATTTAATCTTGGTTATTCTATAGTACAAGATCTGCCTACTACTTACACAGCGATATTTTAGGCAAGCTGCATCCATATTAATTCAATACAAGTGTTTTTAAGAGGGGTTTAATCATTTATGGCCTGGATTTCTTCGTTATGATAAAAATGACTGAAATGATTGATCATTAATATTTCGTTATATTTCTAGGATTAGCTAGCAGTTATGTCAGATTTTAGAGGTTTCCTTTTTATTCTTCCACTGCCACCAGTCTTTAGATAATGCTCAAACTTGCAAGAGGTTTTGTAACAAGCTCTACGAAAGCCGAAAACAGATAAAGTTTGAATCGAAATCCGTTGTTCAGCAATTCTTCATTGGATGAGAACATCGATAATATTTAATCGAATTTTCTGCATGTGAGGATATCTGTGTTAACAAAAGAATGGCTAATTGAGATAAACTACTTTACACTCTACTATTTTTAGTCGTTATTATCTACTTATGTGACTTTGTAAATTAAAAAGTCATTTTTATTTTAATACAGTCTTTTAAGCCTCCATCTTGTTCTTGAGTATGAAATGAACTAGATGCTTCTCTCACCCTCTTTATTCAGGCAAGCCTCTCTCCTTCTGATCTTCGAGCTCTGGCAGCCAAGAGTAGTCTACCACCTACCAACGGTCGACAAACTAATTTCGTTAATGGCCTCGACGCTGCTGTATGTCCGTCCTTTGTTTCGTCACCTACATCTCCATTTCAATTTCCTTTCCAAGTAACCACAACCACAACTATGCCAGTACTCCCAGCATCACTGACCCGTACGGCAACGCCGGAAATTGTTATAGAGGCACAACCTGGCCAGGGTTCCCAGCCGCCTCATCTAGCTCCCACTTCTGCTGCGCCTTTCATAATTGACCATCCTCTCAGCCAAAGCCAGCACCACCTACATCAGCCACAGCATATATCCGTCATATACCCTCGAACAGCAGAGCAGCAGGTCTGTTTATTGACTTCGACATCGGGTGCTTGCACTCATTCAGATTCCAATCAAGACGGTTGTCTGAGGAATGAAACCTCTTTCTCTGGCCCACTTAAACTATTACGCAATTCCAGACCACCCGTGTTTATGACTCCTCCGCCACCAGCCTATTCACCACCGCCATCGCCGATACACTCATACTATCCTTCTTCTTCATCAACTTTTACTTCTTTTTCTCCTTCTGATCATTCTTTCTCTATCCCTACAACTGAAATGACTGCAGAACCGACTTCCGAATCCGATGTGAAGACGCATCCTCATTGTACGTCTTCCTACTCTTCGGCATTGGCAGGCCCTGCTTCTATTGAGGAGGTAGCATCGCAAACAAAGAAAGCAGCCCATTTGCTTGACAGTCCGTCCGTTACCCGATCCCCTTGCCAGCCGAACCTATCTGTTGAGGTTAGGCTCCCAACTCATTCACTTGTGCCACCAAGCTCTCTCCTCGTAAACCCAGCCCTGTCGGGCATGAATAGCAACGATACAAGATGTCCGAACCACAAGCCTGTGAACAACTCTTTAGAAATTAGACAGACTACTGACTATGGATTTCCACATTCTAGCAGCTGTCTACCTGTCATCAGTCGTAAGGTTGTCACTACGACCTCCGGGTTAAATATGCTAGAGGTGACATCAATGGCACAATCTCCACAAGAACTGCATTCCCCTTCAATCGTGGAGACGACAATCATTCATCCTTCTCAGAAGTTAGTCAGTTGGTCAGGTTCAAAAACTAGCCCCCACTTGGACAGTCAATTTTATCTGAGGTGAGAGGGGTTTGCACTTGTTCTTCCAAACACAGAACAAAGCATGGTTATGGAACCTGGGCTTATAAAAAGAATTCGATTACTTTCTATTATTGGACCTTTCATTTTGTATGAAAAGTTGGGTGAAATAGATTCGCAAATTGGCCCCTTGGAACGCTTAAGATTTGATTTGATTTAAACATTGGTGTTCTATTCGTAATTTAATCCTACCCCTATGAACCCATGCTGGATTTTCGTCTGTCATGTGACCAGAATTTGAAGCTTGTCAAATATTATTTTCTTACTCCATGGGTGTTTGTCACACCAGGACTGATAAAAGCTCAGCACTTTCAGATTCTATTATGAGAACTATGTGCCTATAACTTCCACATTCAGATAAGCGAGCATACTTCCACGGCGATATTCTTTCAGTTTTTAGTTAAGCTAATTTTATAATTCCTTCCACCCGAAATTCAAAACAGTGATAGGTCCAATGACGCTTGATTAGGTTGATCCCCTAAACTTTCTAAAAATAATAATTTGCAACTCTTTTCCTCTTAGCTAAAGCTTTTGCTAATATTTACCTTTTTTAAAGTATCCAATAAAAAATGAGTAGGCTATCGTTTATATACTGACCCCTTGACTTTTCCAGTTAAAATATAGATTTTGTAAGGAGGTAAGGGGCTCAACAGGAGCTCGGAACCATAGTATAATTAGCGATCCCTAAACTACACTCGGCGTATAAGGCGACCAATTACTTAGGAGCAGAAATTTATGGTGTGAAAAATCGTCTTATACGCCGGAAAATACGGTATTCTTGATAG